ATCTCCTTTTTTTCCCACTGCAAAATTGTACCAGCAGGAGCCCACCAGCTCAGGGAGGTTGAGCAATGCCCTGTGAGTGAGTGATGATACAGAAGAGAGGTTTTAGCATGTGTCACCTCAAGCCCTGGGTCTTGCCGCAGGGTCTGCTGTCCCAATGTGCCATGACTCATGCCAGAGGGTCAGGAGAGAAACACTCAGAAGGGATTTACACCATGGAGTCTGCAGGTTTGCTGCTCTTCTCGCTCAAGAATAGTCCTCCTCCTCACTCTTCCTTGCCCAGCTGGGACAATGATGCCCAGAGAGGAGAGACAGGCACCTGCCCTCCCACCTTCTCACCTGCAGGCCACCACTAAAGCTGAGTGACAAGAGTCATGGAAAGGCTCAGCACTGCCAGCAGTGACCAATGTAGGACACTTTCCTACTCAACTGCAGAAATGATCTCCAGGTGACCATTGCATTCCACAAGGAAAGGAACATGAAGTCTTCTCTCTCCCGTGTCAAGAGACAGAGCACCAAGATTCAAAACTGAATGTGTATTTGATTTGTAAATTTGACCTTCTGAAGGAGCCACAGTAGGAATTCTAAGATATTACATGTTCATAATGAACACAAACAACCAAGCATTTTTAAACACTCACTGAGAGGTCTCCATGCCTTAGGCTAAGGAATACACCCTAAGTGCATTCATATCAGCAACACCACTGGGTGGCCCAGACTGAGGGCTGCAGGGTGATCCAAATCCTCACACGGTCATTTCCTGCCATAATTGCAGGAAATTGCCATTTCAGCTGTGTGCACAGGGAAGTGTGCATACCTGAAAGGAGTGCTGATACAACTTAAAGATTCTCAGAAAAACCCTGTAGGGCAATGACCCAGGGAGCAGCATGAGCAGGGAACAACAATCCAGGAGCTGGGAGCCACAAGTTCCTGTGAGCACAGGCCTGCAAGGGCAGACACTGCTAAGGAGAGCTACACTTCTCACATACTTGGCCCTAAATCTGTTCCTGAGAACCAGAGCCAGGAAAAACCCTTGGATTCTTGGGCTGTAGCAGCAGCAGAGCTCTGACCCTACTAAGTTTCAGGAAGAATGTCTCCAGAATTGATGTATGAGATGCAAGCAAAGCAAGAGACTACATGAAACAAGCACTTCCTTGGTCACCTGTTCACATCTGACACCAACATTTGAAAAAGTCAGGCAGAGAATGCAGCTAAAAAAAGAGGGCTCAGTGTTCAGCTGGCCCAGTCACTGCCAGCCAGCCAAACAAAAAGAGCTGAGAAGCAAAATGCTCTTGGCAGGGGAACTTCCACTAATGCTCTTAGCCTGTTGCAAATGCAAAGCAACACCACCCACAGTGGAATGTGTTTAAATTAGGTCAGGCTTTTTTTTGGCATTTCTCCAGGTGGGATAATCACCAAGGCTGACATGTGAGCATGGGGTAATCTATGCCATCTATTCATTCATGCCCTTAGTTACTGGCATTTCAACAGGAAAATGAAGCACCTCCACAGTCCGGAGATCCTAACACTCAAACTCTCATCTTCTCTGGCACAGCCACTTTTTTTCCACAAGCTGTTCTGAGCTGCTGGGTAATAAATGCAACAAAGTATTGGAAAATCCTCATTATGTCTATCTGCACCTTCATTTCTTGCCTAGACTTTCTTTGAAGGAGACCTGCGCAATTACCCACCCTCAAGTCAAGAGGGTAGAAGATTAAGAGGCAAACTTACTTTAAGCATGAGGGAATCCATTCACCACTGTCATGTGCTTGTGTGGATGAATCCAGAAAATAACCATGTATGAAGTGAGGAGATAAGAGGACAGCTGAGGGCACCTGAGCAGCCCAACCCAGATTTCCAGGGTCAGCACAGAGTCACTGACCTGGCTGGCAAGGAAAACCAGGCCACCTTCATGCACAGCACTAAGAATGGGGTGGCAAGAAAGAGAAAGAGGGATTTATTCCTATTGGATCTGAGCACAACCCAGATGTAGATCTTTGGTGCCAGGCAAATAGCTCATCCTCCCAACAACATGAACAGAGGTGTTGCCTAATGTTTACTGCAAGCTTGGCAAACCCTGGCAATGATGGGAAGTGGCATTTCCCTTGGGAGGAAGAACAAGCCACAGATGTGCTCCCAAGGAGCTGGACTTGCTGTATGCATGCGTGACATTCACACCAAAAGGAAAAGGTTTATTTCAAAATACAGAAAAGCAAAAACACAAGATAAAGCATTTCTTACTGTATATCAGGACTGTGAAAAAAACAAGAAGCTCCTCCATTGTTCACCTCAGCACCTTCACCAGTCCCAAGACTCTCTCTTGACCTGGCACCTTCCCCTACTACCTGAAAATGCAATTTTATCTTGGGGAGCCTCCTTCTTTCTTACAGCCTTAGAACAGTACAGTAGCCAGGACCCAAAACCATTCCCAAGATCAAGAGTTCTCCAAAGCAGAGTTCCTTCAGTGAAAACAGCTAGGGCTTCCATCTTTTACTCAGAACCAGAGGCCAAGCTAAGAAACAAGCAGGCATGGTTTGTCTCCTCTGCGATCACGACCCAGTATTTCTTCTCATCCCATTCTTAGGGCAGGATAGGTGACAAGTAAAAGCAAACCCTCCCTCCAAGGCAGCAGAAGATCAAAGAAAACCACACATCATGGCAATTAATTAATTTTTTATGTTTACAGTAGTCACTTAACATGGATACCAAGAGGTTTTAATAAAAATTCTGATACTGGAGTGAATTCATTGGGAAAGCTGTAGAAGACCAAAACAGCTGCTCTAAAATAGTAATTCCAAAGAAGAAAAAGTTGAGATCATACTGTGCTTTAAAAGTGAAGTTACATGGTTTAATTTGCATAGCACAAGCATACATCAGTAGCCAAGTTGCAGGCGTTGATAAAGCCCATCTCAATTTGTGTTATTGCATTTTTCTTTTAAATCTGAACAACTGGTTGCTGGTCTCTGGTAGAATCTAGGTAGGTTTACTGGCATTTGCTCTCCAGCAGCTCCACTTGGTTTCGCCAAGGAACATTCAACACTACGAAGTTGCAAATGGTGTGCTAAGGAAAGAAAGAAAAAAGTAGTTAGGAAACTAAGAGCATGAAAGAGTGTCATTTACCACTGTTCTTTACTCCTGTGGCTCTCTAGATATGCACTCTCCAGGCAAGTACTCTGGAGCGGCACTTTTGTACTCTGAGCAAGTCACATCTCTTAAATAAACCCTAAGAAATAAAGCTGAGCATCAGCACTGCTGACATTATCTCCTTTATCCACTCATAGAGGAAAGTTTTCAGCATGAATAACACTCAAACATAAGCCCATAGGCACAGCGAAGCCACGTGTGACAAATCACTGCAGTTGCCATAATGGTACACACCAGTTTTGTGCTTCTCTTATGTGCAGCTACACCTCTCACATAAGCAGGAACAAAGGGCACATACATCCTGTTGCTGCCATCAACAGAAGGAATTAAGCACTATGGAAAAACTCAGGCCAGGTGAAGGCAGATATGTTTGGTGCTCCCACCCAAAAAGCTCAATTACTCACTACAAAGTGCCTGTGTAACTGCTTGGTAGGCACAAAGAGATGGGGTGATCTGCTTCTTTTGGGCAGTGCTTTGCCCAAGGCTCTATTCACAGCAATACAAGTCCCACAGGAAAGCATGCCACACATGTTTACATCACCATGGGAAAAAAAAAGAGGTAGGAATTCTATGAGGACTGAAGACTGAGAGCCAGGAGGCCTGTAGGCCTGACACAGTTTCCTCCACATACCCTTCTGATCCAGACCATGACTACTTCTTAAGAGGACTGAGACACATGCACTGCTCCAGCCTGAGTTCCACTTGAAAAACAGCTAAAAGGCCCTGCCTTCTCTGACATCAACTGGCAAGACAAGTTCTGCAAGGGCAAAGCTTGCTTTGCCGTGTTAAGTATAAGGGCATTATGTCTCTGATGTTGGCCAGGGCAGACAGGGGACTCTGACCACAGGCATCTGTACAAAGCCAGCCAGCGGGACAGGGCTGGAAATGGGGAAGAGTGGGGGTCAGCAGGCTGTGCCCTGGAGCCTACCTTGGCCATCTGTGGCTCCTCATGGAAAGCACAGTGCTGGATATCAGTTGCTGGCTTTGTGCAGGTTGTCCGGGCAATCTCCACTTCCATTATGTACTTGACTCCAGCCACGATCTGCAACAAGACAAGCAGGCAGAGGCAGCTTTACTCACAGCACACGGAGAAGCGCTCCGCCGAGAACCAGAGAGGCGGGCAGTGTTCCTGTTACATGATGGAAAACAGACTCTGAAAGTACAGAGGGAATTTTATGTGGCAACCTCCACTACAGAGGCACTTGGCACCCCCTTAGAAACAGGAAACAAAATCCAAGTAAACATGTCCCACAAAGCAGCTTCCTTAGCAATAAACACAGACATGTGTTAACTCATGAGCAGCGCAGGGAAGCCGCTGGCTCCTTCCACAGCGCACAGCACTCAAGGTCACTCAGACTGAGAGAAGCCAAGATATAAAAACGGGCTTTTATTCACTTTCTGTGAGGGGAAAAGTTGCAGAGGCCCCCAGGCTAGCGACCTGCCCTTTCTCCAAAGGAATCCGGCCATCATATGGCACACTCCCAGCCCCCTAGGAGAGAGTGCACCCCCGGGCTCACCTGCCTCTGGGCGCTGATGACCCGCACCACCCGGCTGGAGTACATGTCGTTGCTGGCCCTGTTGTACGCCGTCATGGCGAACTGCAGAGCCCGCTCCAGCCCCTCGTCGTTCTCGGGGTTCTCGATGGGCTGCGGGGCGCCCACCATCCGCGGGCGGAGCCCGGCGCCCCGCACGGCGCCGGCGAAGCAGAGCAGGGCCGCCGCCAGCAGCACCAGCGCGGACACTCTGCCGGCCGCCATGGCTGCGCTCTGCCGCTCCCCTCACGCCGCCGCCATTTTAAAGCCGCGGGGCGGGCCGGGCCGGGCCGGGCCGGGCGCGGTTTGGGGCCGAGCCCCGCCCCGGCCCGGCCGAGCCCCTGCACCGGCCCCGGGAGCGGCGCTGCAAAGCGGAGGAGGATGCTTTCCGCACGGGCGCGGGAAGCTGGAGGCTTTTCCCAGACTCTGCCTCTTCCTGGGTTATTCTTGTGCTTATTTCCCTCTGCTGCGAAAGGAAAACAAAAGCCACAGAGCATTTTAAGCTACCGGTGTTGTGTTCCCAGCACAAAACACCTTGAGTAATTTCCTACCTCTGCCTCCGCAGCGCTGGTGTTGCCTCACCTACGCTTCGAAGGGCCGAGGCGGCTTTCCAGACAGACGGATTGCTTCCCGTCTGCTCCCGAAATACCAACATTATCTCCTGTCCTGGTTAGGACAAATTTGGGAGAAAACCTCTGGAAGGAGCCCCCAGAAAACAAACCCCCACGCCCCCTCACACCCCCCCCCCCCCCCCTTTGTTCGGGAAGAATTTTCTCGGCGAGAAGTGGGAAAAAAACCTGTTTATTTAACAAACAAAACACTGCCCAGCACCAAAAAATGAACAACACCAGATGACGACAAAACTCTTTCACCACTCTGAAGAGATGACAAATCCAGAAAGTCTCTCTTGGGAATGATGGCCCGGGTCTGGGCGCTGGGGATGGCTGCTGCTCTCGGTGTTTCCCACGTCCCAGCCCAGAGCAGTTTGGAATGATATTCAGGAAAGGGAAAGGGAAAAAAAACAGTCCAGGGAAAAAAATTGGACTGTTCAGCTAAACTAACAAGCAAAAGCAAAGGCAGAAGCAGAAGCAGGAGCAAGAGCAAGGAAGCAAAGCAAAGCAAGCCAGGCAGCATTACCTCTTCTAGACAACAGACCCTGGGGGGAGGTGAACCGGCTGATAACAAAACAAAACAAACCTTCACTTTCAGTCAGTTCTGAAAGCACAAAACATAATATCAGACATAAACAGAACATACTGTTGGGGATACAAGCACCATTACGTCACCCTAGGACATCTCCCTCGTCCCATCAGAAATCCTAAGTTTGGGAAGACAGGACTTATTATAGCCAGCTTCAGTGAGATTTAATGCCTCATGGAATTGTTAGGCTGAGAGAGGAGGAGGTTTTGCACCTGGATATCCACAACTTGCCTTATAATGGAAAGGGCTTATCTGCTGACTGGAAAGGCTGCCTGCATGCCAGAAATATCCAGCATGGAAAAATCCCTGCAGCTGGCAACAAGCTGAGCTATCAACACTGACAGGAATTGGGGTTGTTCTTGTAGCAAGAGAAATAGTCGTAGAATGACTTGGCTAGAAGGGACCTCAAAGATCATTTCACTCCAACCCCCCTGCGATGGACAGGGATACCTTCCACTAGACCAAGCTGCTCAAAGCCCTAGAATGAATGTCACCAAAATCACCTGCAGACACCCAAACAGAAACAAGCAGTTGTAGACTATTGCCAGTCCAAACCCCCTGAAATCAGGACATGAAACAAAGCAATTATGAGGAGAAAAAAAGGTTTGACAAAAAAATTATGTTCTACAGCTGATGAATAAAGGGCACCTTGTTCATGAAATAAAGCTGTACTTTGTCAGCTTGTTTATGCAGGGTGCAACAATCTTGCTCTATCAGAGGTGCTTTTTTAAAAATATAAAACAAATTCATGAATAACCAGATAAATAAAGAAGCTGGTAATTAAAGAACTTACTAAGCAGCAGAAGACTCATGATAACATTGCAAAAGTCTATAATACTGTGTGCCGTCAGTATAACTAGAAAAATAGTGGTTTAGCATCTTCTTTTGTGGTTGATATTTGAGCAATATCCAACATATTTTCATCTTCCTTTTTGTCTATGTTTCAATTTCACTCAGGACTGGTGAGCTTTTTATGGTACTAAGCTTACTAATTTCTCCATATAACTGCTACATCCCTTGCCCTTTCCCTTGATGTCCCTCATCTCTCTTTTACCATTCAAAAATATAGTTGTCAAACATGAAAATTTCGCTTTTACAACTCTAACCATTATAAGATATGCATATGTGCAGAAAATCCTTCAAATAAATGTACTGTAGCCTCCAGCCAAAGCTTCTGTATGGGCACAGAGTTCCTGTGAAGTACAGTCAGCCAGGCCACTGTCCATCTGGAGAGTTATATGGACAGCTCTGTGTCTGTGGGATTGAAAGATAAAGTGCCATATTTAATCCGTTGGAAAGATTTGTCGGATTGAGCCCATGAAGACATGGACAACAGAAATGGCAGATGGAAGTTGGATGGTAACATCAATGGGTAGAGTTGCTGTGGTCCATGTCCTCAGAGTAGTTTTCATGGCGCAAAAAATACTTGGGGTTTCTGTTCTTAATGGAAAGAATATCTTTAAATGTGGTAATTTAACTTTGCAATTCCTAACATGTACACAGGGAATTCTTTGAACACAATTGCATAGTTTGGTTGAACTTCCCAGAAAAATCTCCACTGTGGCAGCCCCTCTCACTTTATCTGAGTACCTCTCCTCCAGGCCTGCTATCTGCATTTGGCTAAAGATAACAGCCTTTGGCTGCTTCCTGTAGGGCTGGAAAGCACAGCCTGCAGAACTCTAATCTCTGCACAGCTCTCACACAGAAACGGGGCCTGCAGGAGGAACAATGGCTTTTGTTGTCACTCAGTAATGAGATAGCAAACCTCAGCTCACAAAAAATAATCATGCTCCCTACAGGTAGGAGATTACCTTTGAAATATCTCAAACTCAATACATTCTAAATGCCTTTTTGATCTGCTTTTTGACTCCTTTTTAAAATACATCAATCATAAATTAAGGTTAGATTTCCAAGTTTTCCTCTGTCAAACTGGCTGCCAGAACCAAATGCCGGGTTTGTATATGTTCACATGAGTCCAAGGGTCTCACAAAAAAAAAAAAAAAGGCCTCTTGAGCAAGACAGTCAGCAGTTTATGAGTTGGGTCTGAGAGTGATTCAATACCAAAGGCAAAACTATTTCACTGCAGTAGAAGAGTGTCCTCTGCTTATGGAAACGAACACATCCCACACCAGCTTATTCAGTGATGGTGGGAGAAAGAGTCTCTGCCTGCCTTTGAGACTCGTGGTCATCAGTCCCTGCTCTGGCATGCAGTAGCTTTCACATACTGACAAGTTCTTGCCACAAGCCAACAGCCAGTAGTGGCTTTTCTGGATAGGCTGCAAGGTGATTGCCCAGCTGAAAAACAGTATATGCCAGGAGAGGCTTCAAGGGCACCAAAAGGCCGCTCTAAACATACTTCTGTGCTGGCAGTACAACTGGATTAGTAAAGACTCCCCCTCTCAAGTTCAATGACTCCTAAATAAGCTTAGCACTTAGTGCTGAGTGCACCTTTCATACAATTCAGTGGGAATAGAGCTATTGGGAAACACAGGCTCTCAGTCTGGGTGTTGAGCCCTCTTGAAAGCACAGCCTTAGATTTCTTGGGAACAGAAAAACCAAGTAACAGGAAAGAAGTTCACATAGCACTAGAGGGCTATTTACTCACTGGTGGTAACTTTTAGGAATTAAGTACCAAACATCTCTCAGCACTGATCTCAAGTAGGTCAATGATTATCACCCTGCAGAGGCATGGGACCTACACAACCCTCTGCTGAGTCCCAAGCTGCTCACATCACCTGTGGGATGAAAGCAGCACCTGCTTTGAATCCCTTTCCATTATGCCAGTGCAGAAGATAATCTGCCTCCAAGAAATTTGTATTCACTTGCAGACATCTGTTTAGTAATTACTGTAGTTAATCTGCCCTTATGCCCATGAGGGGAGGCATTGTTGTTTACACACAAGCAGTAAACAAAGTAATGGGCAGCAGGAAAAGCTGCATTTCAAATAACTGCATGCAATCAGTTATGGTCAGATTGTGCAACTGAAACAGTGAACCCACAGTACTAAAAGTGGGTGCTGGTTTAAGTGAAGTACTGGTGCACTTGGGATTTTAGCAAAAAATCCCTCTGCAGAAGAATCCTATTTTTACTCTGAGAAATATAAATAGCTGCACAGCAGTACCATATATTCAAAATTATCATCAGAGATTTTTTGCAATCTGGTGCCTTTGATGGCTATATTAGCTTCTATTTACTAAGAATAATTTGGCCATTCTCTTTTCCCCTGTATTCTTCATCTTATGTATTTGCCTCAGCCTGCAGGAGAAATAGCTTTGCTGTGTAAGATTTGTTTTCATTAGTTCTTATTACATGCTTTTTAGTTCCCCAGGAATTGTTTCCCAGAGCTGATAAGAAAATGAGTTGTGTCCTTGGTCTCCAATCCTACCCAAAGCACGAAGTGCATGTTTAAGCTTAGCTTCTGAGGCATACCAGTGACTTCATTTGACTAAGAAGAAGCCTTAAATGAAATGTATGTTTGTTTGTGTGCTGTGCTGAAACTGGCCCTCCAGCAGACTGCTGGGATACTATACTGGGATACAAAGAGTAGAGCTCTGAGGCTTTGCAGATCCCTGGAAGCCCAGAGGGGAAATCAGTAGCACCGTGTCCATGCAGAGTTCCCCTGAGCTCTCCAAGAGCTGGGTCACAGTCACACCACTCTTGTTCTCTCCTTAAATAATTTCTCTCCTCCCTCAGCAACAGCTTGTAATGTAACTTCACTACTTCCAAGTCCAAGGGCTTCAGTGCATAGAACAATTTGAGTGTTTGCTCAGCATGGTATCACGCTTTAACCACACCTATTTATGATGAAGCCCTTTTGTCAAGAGCAAAACTACAAATCCCTAATCCTTGCAAGAACAAACAATTAAAAGGCCATCCAGGACCTCAAGTTTTCATTGGTTCAAGTCAGCTCCTCTGCTGTGATCCCAGCAGAGCCAAGACAGATGCCAGACTGCTTTGGATTGCATGGCACTGCACAGACACACAATTGCTTTGTTTTTTTCATTCTGATGTTGGGGAGGTGTGTTTGATTTTTTTTTGTTTGGTTTTGTTGCTTTGTTTTTAAGAGACAACTGTTGTGCTCTCAAATAAAAGATTTCTTATTGAAAGACAAAATCAATGGTGCATAGCCTGGATATTTTCACAATCCCCATATACAACCAGAGGTACAACCTCTGTTTTAAGTTTTGAAATGGTTGCATTTCAGAGCAGAAAACTCTGTCTGGTTAAGCTTTTATTGCAGGGAATGGGGAAGCAAAACTTGAATCT